CAATTAGACAATTAAATAATGATAATGATACTAAAAAACACAAATAATAAATAACCAAATTATTCTATATCCAAACGGATTATAGTCGGTCACGCGATTAAACCGAAATCAACTAACGATGAAAGTCTTACAATAAAACGATCGAGTACTCCAACTTCTATTTAAGTCGACATCGCGACTAAATAAGTAATTATGACCTTATAAATAATATTCGATAAATAGAATATTCCGAGAAATTCTATAAATCGAACGGGGCGTTACAATTGCACTCCCTTTGCCTCAGCTGACGAGGAAGTCTGTAAAGTTCGAGTGGACAACCATTGTGAGTTGAGTTTTCAGGAGCTGAAAAGGAGACTTACGACGGCACCAGTGTTGACTATTCCAGATCCTTCTTGGAGCTTCACCATCTATAGTGATGCTTCGAGGCAGGGTTTGGGATGTGTACTTATGCAAGATGGCCAGGTTGTTGCTTATGCGTCACGCCAGCTTAAAACACATGAACAGAACTATCCGACGCATGACTTGGAATTAGCTGCAGTTGTTCATGCTCTCAAGATTTGGCGACACTATCTATACAGCGGTCAACGCGAAATCTTTACTGATCATAAGAGCTTACAGTACATCTTTACTCAGAAGGAGCTCAACATGAGACAGCGCCGTTGGTTAGAGCTCGTCAAGGATTACGATTGTACGATCCAGTACCATCCGGGAAAGGCGAATGTTGTTGCTGATGCCCTAAGCCGTAAGGTGAAGGGCGACTTGACATACGTTGTTACCCAGCAGAGCCAGTTGATTCAGGAGTTCGCCCGGATGCGGATTCAGGTGATTGATGCACTTCCTACTGTCAGTACGGGGAGTGTGAATTCCATGCAGGTTCAGCCGACGCTAAAGGAGAGAATCCGGCAAGAGCAGGCTTCAGATGAGTTTATTCGTACGATTGATGCCAAGGTTCGTGCCGGAGGCGTCGAGGGTTTTCACCGAGGCACTGATGGGGCCTTGGAGTTTCGTGGCAGGATTGTGGTGCCTAAAGTCGAAGCATTGAGAAAGGAGATTTTATCTGAGGCTCATACCGCACCCTATCTAGCCCATCCAGGAAGTACAAAGATGTACCATGACCTGAAAGGGTCGTTTTGGTGGAGAGGATTGAAGAAAGACGTGGCCGACTTTGTAAGAAGATGTTTGACCTGTCAGCAAGTCAAAGCCGAGCATAAGAGTCCGATAGGCCTTCTACGACCACTGCCGATTCCAAGGTGGAAGTGGGAGGAGGTTGCGATGGATTTCGTGACTGGGTTACCAAGGTCGTCTGAACATCACGACGTTATTTGGGTCGTGGTCGACAGATTGACTAAGGTTGCTCATTTCTTGCCGGTATCGATGAGTATGTCTTTGGATCGGTTGGCTGAGATTTATGTCTGTGGGATCGTTCGACTCCATGGAGTACCTGTTACTGTCGTGTCAGACAGAGACCCTAGATTCACCAGCAGATTCTGGAAGAGTTTACACGAGGCAATGGGTATGAAGCTAGCTTTCAGTTTAGCCTACCATCCCGAGACTGACGGACAAACGGAGCAGACTATACAGACGTTAGAGGATATGTTACGTGCTTTGACTGTCGACAGGGGTGCTAAATGGGAGTCGTTACTGCCGTACGTTGAGTTCGCTTACAACAACAGTTATCATTCTTCTATTCAGATGGCTCCTTATGAAGCACTATATGGTCGTAAATGTCGTTCCCCTCTTTATTGGCACGACGTCGGTGAACGTCGAGTACTCGGTCCGAAACTGATCGAGGAGACAGCTGAGCAAGTCGAGTTGATCCAACAGAGACTCAGAACAGCTCAGAGCAGAATGAAATACTCCGCCGATCATCATCGACGAGACATTCAGTTCGAGGTCGGCGAGCACGCTTTTCTCAGAGTTAGTCCATTTCGTGGAGTTATTCGATTCAGGAAGAGAGGGAAGTTGCACCCTCGGTTTATTGGCCCGTTCGAAGTACTCGAGCGAGTGGGCGATGTTGCGTATCGTTTAGCCTTACCTCTCGAGTTATCCAGTGTGCACAATGTCTTTCATGTGTCTATGTTACGCAAGTACATGTGCGACCCCGATCATGTCATTCCTCATACTGATATTGAGATTCATCCAGATTTATCTTACGAGGAGCGACCGGTAGCCGTGTTGGACCGACAGGTTCGACGACTCTGGAAGCATAATGTTCCCCTCGTTCGTATTCAGTGGGATCGCCACGGAGCTACTTGGGAGCAGGAGGCTGACATTCGCGCTCGTTTTCCCGACTTTCAGTTCTGATATGTATATTTTCATGTATATATGTTTTGTTTTATATTTCCGAGGACGGAAATATTTTAAGGAGGGTAGATTGTAATAACCCAACTTCTTGTTAATAGAAATGATGTACTATCTTTTATTGATTCCGTTCATTTCAGTAAATAAGTTCGACGTTTAGTCGAAAAGTTATCCGGTTAATTATTAACCGAGTCAAATTCAATAATTAATTTCTGAACCGTTTATCTTATAAACGGATATCATTAATCGGGATTAATTATTACAAGTTAAGAATGTTCGGAACTAAGTTCATGATCGAAACTAAGGTTAAGTCATGAACGTACTCAAGCATACTTTGCACGCATGCATACATGCACAACGTGCGCAGCCGTACGCGTAGCCGCGCGCAGCGCGCATCGTCGCGCGCAGAGCATAGCGCACGCGTCATTACCCCGCTAAGCACGCACTTAGGCAATGCTTAGTGACTTGATCAGACCAAACTCCCATCTTAATATTACCGTGAGGAAAAATGCAAGGATAAACGTTGGGTGTGCAAGTCGGGTGGTGAGTCACCTCCTTGCTTGCACACACGGCGCGCCACGAACGCACGAAAGATGACTAAGCCCGTGCATGCTTGACACCTCGGCAATGACTAAGCCTAACATGCCACATTTCAGTATTTGGCCGAGACACATGGCAACAAAAGGAAAAATCGTCACCATTCACCTCCTTGACCAAAGTTCACCCTCGTCTTTTTACTCCTTTAAATTACCGTGTATGGACGTTGAGTTCATGCACTTTTCACGCACAAAGTTCAGCCAACTTCAGCAAGAAATAGAGGGAAAATAGTAAAGAAAATATTGTAGAAAAATAGTACAAAAATAGCTAAGGAAGGCGGAAGCACAAGGGAAGTACGTACGCACGCGTTTGAGCTTAGCACACACACGCACATTACCGTGCATTCCACGTCCAAACTGAAGGGTACATTCTTGATTACCCTATTTTTATATATTTCAGTTCATTATAAGGAGATCATGTCGAAATCTCATTGTTTGGTTCGAGTTTTATATGAAATTGCCCTCGGAGATGCCATATAAGCTCCCTCCGGGTAACTTCAATTTTTGACCGGCAAGTCCCGAACACTTTATGCATATTTAAGTAGTTTAAGTCAAATCATGTCCAGTCATAAG